GAGAGGCGTTCGTAACCCGAGGTACCACTGTACTACTTATACAGTATTACACAATAATATTCTTCTAGCTTACGTACAAATTCGATTTAAGGACAGACCTTGGGAATGGAACTTGTTCTTAAACTGGGGGCTACCTGAACATAATTTCAGTATACTTTTTTCATCTTTGTTTAATCTTTTTTGAATCAGTTGCTATCTGTCCACTGGCATCCTTTAGCATATCAATTCAAGATTGTAACCTCCTTCTGTGTTAGATCTTTTGGTCAATTTCTATCTTCAATGTTTTTACAAATGTTATTGTAATATTTCTTCTTTTATAACAGCTCTCTGAAATTCTTTATTCTTCCTTGAGATATTTCTTTCTTGGCTTTAGCTTCTCTTCTCTTGGCAATTTCTACCAACTCTTCTGACATCCAGTTCTTTCTTCTGTTTCTTCATTTCTGGCAATCTCTTTTCACATTCATCCTTAATAACAACTTTGATTTAATTCTACAGCTCCTCTGATTCCCTATCAGTGAGGTTCAGGACTTCAATGTGATTCCCCCTGTTCTTTTTGAAAATGGTCAAGATCGTATCATGGACGCTGACGGGCGTTGTTCTTCTATTTTAGCTTGACTTGGAATTCATACATGAGTGGCTTGTCATCTGTTCCACAGTCAGCCCTTGGCCATATCTTTGCTGTTATAACCGAGTTCTTCCACTTCCTTCTACCAATAATATATTTTAGTCAATCTGATTTCTGTGTATTCTATCTGGTGATGTGCATGTATATAGATATCATTTTGGTTGTTGGAAGACTGTTTTAGGAGTGAAGAAATAATTTGATTGCAAAAATTGATAAGTCATTCTGTGGCTTCATTTTGGTTTTCTAGGCTATATAGTCAGACTACTTAATATTTACAACTTTGGTATTCCACTCTCCAGCAATATGGACAATATAGTAAGTTTAGAAAACAAAACATGGTCTATGTCATCATTATTCAAATTGCTTTTGAGGATTTGTGGAGTGGAGGTATTGGCAGTATAAAAGCCCTTATTTTTTCCTTTCATTTTATTCAGGCAACTCTTCACTTTTTAAAAGTTCTTTGAAACGTAATAATAAGGCATTGGCCATGGCCCTCAGTACAGAGAAAGAAAATTCTCGGCGACTGAAAAATGAAAAGCTGTTATTACAAAAAGAATTGGATGGGCTGAACTTGCAGAATATCTTACTTCGCCAAAAGCTAAGTTCCTTGGTACTTTCAAAAAGTAAACAATGGGATCTAATATTTGATTCACTTCTTAGGAAAATAAAACTAATAGAAAATATCCAATTATTCCTTCCTATTAAAGGAACAGCTTATGTCAGTAAAATGTACAGGAGGCAATTTTACTTTTCTTTGCAATTCCCTGAATGTCCTCAGAATCTGATCTGTTGGGCTTATTTTAATTATTAGATTTATATTCTGCTATTTGTATAGGAGCTGAAGGTGGCGTATACAGTATTCATTCTTTATCAACCTTTCGAGATATGCCATGTCAGGAACAGACAACACAAGGATTACAGGAATGCTACTTAATTGTTGTAGGCTGTAATAACAGAATCTTCAAAACCTTCCAGAGTTTCCCTCTGCCTCCTCTTCTATCAAACAGAAGGTTATTTTGAGTTTCTTTTTCATGCCTTCTCTTTTCCCAGAACTCAGTTATCTCTTACTTTCTCTTAATTGTTCCTGCATAACTTCTTCAGGGTTATCTCAACATTCTTCTACACTCCTCCTACTTTTCCCCATAACAACTGCCATGTGAAGTAGGTTGGGCTGCGAGAAAGTGACCACCTCAGAATCACCCAGTGAGCTTCTGTGGCTAAAGGTGGACTAGGGTTTCCTTAATCCAACATCTTAACCACTACACCATGCTGGATCTCTTGGGCTGAAAGATCCTCCAGAGAAGGAAATGATGAAAATTCCTTATTGAACACTTGGAGATCTAAACCACAATGGATGGTTTCACTCCAGTGAAAAATAATATTTAAATATTTATAAAATAAGTATCCATATTTTTCTTTGTAGAATACATGGAAATGGTAATATCTGTTTTTATCCTGCTTGTAAGCATGCTTAGCAACTAGCAGTGTGCATAAATAATCCATTTAATCAATTACTAATTCCACCAATCAGCATTTACCAAGAAGGAACACCTCTCACCTTTGTTCACAAATAGATAATAGGAACTTCTGTCAATTTTCTGTCAGTTTTCTAACTTATCATAACAGTGTCCTCATTGTGCAACACAGTTTGGAATTCAACTAACTAGTAAATCTTAGTCTTATATGAGATATTGTATTACATATAAAAGAGAAGAAGAAAAATGTTTCATGTTAGAAAAAGCTCAAATGACTAGAATTAATAATTTTGGTATTTTTTTCTTTTCATTATCTAAATTTTCTAAAATAATCATTTCGGGAATTGGTTTAGATAAAATCTTATGTTCATGGTCTAATGATTGAGAGGCTATGAGATTTACCAGAAATTTGCTCTGATGACAGAATGCCAAATATGCTGTACCATGGCAGATTCATCAACTGAATGTTTCATGTATCATTGTCAGATCCAACGGTGTATGAGACATGTTGGCAGATTGACAACACCCCACCCCCCACTCCCAATACTTGTAATAGAGGGAACCTTTTGTAAAAAAATTCATCCACATTGCCATGTCACCCTCTATGCTATCCAGTTTGAAGGGATGAGGGAAACTGGAAGGGGTAGATTGGATGAAGTGTTTCCCAAGGTTTTGGTTCATGACCAGCTTTTTATACCATGTGTGCAATTCTTTTACTGTGTGTGTCTATCCACATTGCCATGTCACCCTCTATGCTATCCAGTTTGAAGGGATGAGGGAAACTGGAAGGGGTAGATTGGATGAAGTGTTTCCCAAGGTTTTGGTTCATGACCAGCTTTTTATACCATGTGTGCAATTCTTTTACTGTGTCTTTCAATCCCATTCTGAATGCATATTGGACATGGCAGACATTTTGCTGATGTAGCTGAGGCATATCTTCAGTACCAGAATAATGTGAACATAGATTTGCTGTGCTTCCCTAGACCAAATATGTTAGGTCTCAACACTGACTCTTTCTCTGTCCTAACAATAAGAACATTTTAAAAAATCAACCATTTTTTCTTACTCGCTAACTGTATAAAAGAAAACATATTTTATATTTTATTTTATTTTAATGCACAGAACAAAACTCTAAAAGAAATTCAAGCATTCATGAATAATAATATTTTAACTGCAATTGAAATAAGCACCTTTTCTGAGGTATGTGTCAGCTGTATAACTGTTATTATATCATAGACCCAAGTAGGATGGCTGTTATGTTGATGTTTGTTATTCATTAATACAGATCTTAGTTTTAATTTTATTTTTCAGAGATTTTCAGAAATTACTCTTGAGATCTGGTGAAAATAAAAGAAAAAAGTAGTAAATAAAAATAATCAGAGTCCTGTCTACCTGATATATTTTTACAGACACCCATTCAGAATTACATACATTATTTATTATTATTTATTTAAATTCATTGGCTGCCCATCTCCAGTGGACTCTGGGTGGCACACAAAACTAAAAGAGACAAAAAAACAACAACTAAAAATATTAAATCAACAGACAGCCTGGACTAACATGCTGTAGTAACAAAATCCACAAAACAAAACAAGGACCATTAAACAAATAACAAACATCAACCCCAGGCCTGGGATCAAAGCCAGGTTTTCAAAGCTTTCCAAAACCCTAGGAGAGAGGGTGCCATCTCTGGGGAGATGCAGTTATGCAAAATAGTTTGTTTTAATAGGAGTAAAAATATACTTCGTTTATAAAATAATGAGTATGAATTAAATATTTTTAATACTTCAAACAAAGAAAAATGCCAGCCTTTAGCATTATCTTTATTTCCAAAGATGCTTCTCTGCCTGAAATGGTGTTTTCTTAGAGAACAAATGGGTAACTGCAGTTTTCCTGTGCCCACCTAGCCAGAAAAATGACAAAAGATAAGTTGGAGTAGTAGGGAGCAGATATGGAATGGATGTTCCCTTTTGCAAGAGCATTCAAAACCACAGCAGCCATTTTGCAAGACTACTCATAACCACAAGTTTCAGAATTCCAAGCCATGAAAACTTGGGAATCCCAGGAATATATTGACTTATTTTTCCTTTGAATAGTGTATTCCAAAATCTCTAACAATGGATGATGCTCAGTGCAATTCTGTTTATGAATCCAAGCTTTCAGATCATCAAGTAAGGTAATATTTGAGTTTAATTATTAAACTAGATAAAATCAAAACAGAAAACAGAAAAATCTGCCAATTCAACTGACTGTGAAGAACTTCTTCAGAAACAGTTTCAGAGCTTTATTTGTACTCAGAAAAAAAAAATGTGTATTCTTGAGTCCAAAATATACAAAATATAGAGTTATTGTTAGATCAGAAAATTTATGAAATATAGTGTATTCCAAAATCTCTAACAATGGATGATGCTCAGTGCAATTCTGTTTATGAATCCAAGCTTTCAGATCATCAAGTAAGGTAATATTTGAGTTTAATTATTAAACTAGATAAAATCAAAACAGAAAACAGAAAAATCTGCCAATTCAACTGACTGTGAAGAACTTCTTCAGAAACAGTTTCAGAGCTTTATTTGTACTCAGAAAAAAAAAATGTGTATTCTTGAGTCCAAAATATACAAAATATAGAGTTATTGTTAGATCAGAAAATTTATGAAATTATCACTTGTTTTTATTTTGCTAGCACAGGTCACAATTTATATTGCTGACCACTGTGACCATGTAGCATATCTAATTTAGTGGAAATATTTCAAAGTCTGGTTCTTATTTTCTCTACATTGTTGCATGTGGGTATGTTTACATTATATGGTATGCTGTTAACATAATATCTGTGTACTATGACTCAAAGCAGCTTACAGTACTACCTAAATTATGCATCTTTATTCTGTTCCTTTTTTAAGGTGTAACTTGAAACACAATTCATCATGCAATCAAAATTTGTTTTCTATTTTTTAAATTTTTATATTAATGAATATTCACTCTTAGTAACTGTCCTGTCCTTTTCCTTTTTCTTTCAGACCTACTGAGCAATATTTGATCACTCCTCATATCGTAGAAAGTGATGGGGGGAAAAAAGTGAACTTGCTTGTATGTGACATGGATGAGCCTTTTAAGGAGATATCTGTACTATCAAAAGAAGTTGCAGCAGATCAAATAAACATTGAGATATTAGATCCTAAACAAATGCCAAAACCAAATGAAATAAATAAAGTGGAAACAGAATTTGTCACAAATACATTTTCAGAAGGTATACTGTATTAATTTTTATACAGTGGAGAAGGGTGTCATCCAATATATTGTGCCTTCCAAATACATGATGGATGGATGGATGGATGGATGGATGGATGGATGGATGGATGGATGGATGGATG